TTTGTTTGAGGTATAACAGTTTGTGACGCAATGTATCATGGGAAATTGTGCTGTCCAAAGTCCGCAGAAGGATGAATCCTCTATACATGGGTGGAGCAAGAACACATCCGGGAACTTTGAGCGTACTTGCAATGATATCTACTCAGGTTTGGAACAGTACTCGGGCTAACAATGTTTCACAAGAACATGAGTACACAAGTTCAGATGAGAAGGAATACTGAGAAAAATCCCTGGTCAAGATGGTGGCCCAGTTCCCAGTCACAAATTAAAAATAGCTTTGTAAAAGTTCCAAAACAAAGATAAGTTTATACAAAATAAGCTAAAATATGGGTTAAATATGTGATGAGAATTAAAAGTTAAACCGTATCAACCACACCTACTGTACCACGTTTCAGTACCTGTTCCAGCTAAGAGGAAAAACAAGAAAACTGGAAATTATTCAAGATTATTTTCTTGAATACATGACCAGACTGAGAGCCCTTGAGACGGATTGCCTGTGTTGTAACTGCCTTCTGTAATTTCGTAATAACGTCTGTGTAACTGAAAAAGTTTGTAACTATAACTTTTGCTGCCTCTTGGCCAGGACTCCCTTGAAAATGAGGTTTTATTCTCAATGGGACCTTCCTTGTAAAACACAGAATAAACAAATAAAAGAGAAACTGTGAAATACCTATTTTAAAGCTGTTTAACATTTCGTTAAAAAGTGTGGAGAAAATTGTAATAAGACTGATGAAGTTTTGAGAAAAAAATCCAAATATGTTGAATGTAGGAAAAAGGCAGTTTTACCTCATTCTGAATACATAAAAGGGCCATTTAATAAAATGTTTAAAGCAGACATGGTGTAGGAACTAGGGGTGCACCGTTCTATTGGCCCCAATCTCAGGTTTTTGTCAAGATTGGTGATCAGCCAAAAACTGCAACTGGTGTATCCCTAGTTAATGTTAATGCAAATCATTGCTATAGAATAGTTTTGGACAAGTGTGTCGAAACAGGTACAAAAACTTTGTTATCAAAACTGGAAAAATTAAAGTCTGAAGGAACAATTCAATTCAAATTCAAAGATACTTTATTAATCCCAGAGGGAAATTAGAGTTTCAGTACACACAATTCTGAGATCAGACATACATACATAGACACATGACAAGAATTGGTGACTGTGGTCATTCGCAACCCGAGTCGCGCTACCTTAATAGAGATCAGAGGGGTTTATATGAGGATTGAGTCAGGTGGAGGAAAAAAAAGGCACTTCAGAGTTACCCTCCACAGGGAGGGCAGCTTTGCTATGCAAAAAACACCTCAGACAGAAATGCAACAGACTTCAGACGTTACACAACATAAGTGTCCACTAGGTGGGGAGGTAGGGTAGAGGACTCTCCAAACATCAGTGAATGCAGCCTGGAACGATTCAGTGGCCTTCACCGGTCGCAGTCCCGCCCAGGCTGGGATAGGGAGACAGAGTTGCCATGGCGACGGCAGCATTCCACATTTCTTCTGGGGGGGGGTATCGCTTCAGCCTCACAGGCTCAAGGGCACCAGATTCAGATAAGAACTTGTTTTGGGGCCAGACAGAGATAATTTCCTATCTGTCTTAAGGTTCCGTTGGTCCTCAGCCTCTCTAAATCCAATAATGGCGTAGTTAATCAATCCCAATCCATGCTGATCTGTCAACTTTCTCCTTGATCGAATCCACTTTCTGTGCCAGAGTCTGAATCTTAGCCAAAGTTCCAAGCTTACGACTTATCTCGACAATTATGAGTCTGTGCATTCACAGCGCGGTGTAATCCATCCCTGAGCTCCGGGATTGAACCAATATTCCTTGACAGCTCATTAATTTTCCGGTAAGCCAGATAACCACCCAGGCCAAAAAGCAGTAAACCTGACACCAACACAACGAATATCCAGACGTCTTCAGAATCCTCTACAGACTGTTGAGAGAGGCAGATCAGGTTCCACTGTTTCCAGGAGTCCATGATATGCCCAACTGGCTCTGTCCCAGAGGGGCAACCGGGAGCCCCTCCTCCGTTCTCATTGTTGAAAAAATTTTGTCAATCGCGTTAAGAGACCAACTGACCAGATCTATTTTTAATAATTTTCAGTTTCCAGAAAAAATGCAGAAATGTCGTACACCCAAAGACAGACAAAGAGCCTTGGGATAAGATAGGGAGGAGAGGAGGAAAAAAGTGTCTGTACTCTCCAAGAGCCGGAAGAAATATGATTTTGTAGTTCAAATAGCAATAGGGAGCCCAAGTAGGGCTGGGCGATATGACAATTTTAGACCGTTTTACGATCTACACATCTGACGGTCTGTCATTTTTGAGAGACCGTTTTATCACGATTCACAGCTCTGCTGTTGAATTTCTGCCTCTGAATGAAAAGGGAACTTACCTCAGGCGAATGACACGCCTTTGTTTGACCCTTAACCAATCAGAGTGAGTCATAGTAATATATTAGTGCCCCGCTTGTTTTCACCTGTGTGTGAACAAACATGGCTTCGCCGCGGCTGAGCGACAACGAGGTTTTCTTTCCGAAGAGGAACGTAGGGTTTCCTTAGCGCGCGGCGCTAACAACTTAGCGACGTGACATGTCTCGGAGAAAGCGTAAAAACACGTTGGACGCTTCTTCTGAAGCAGGAAAATAACACCGCTTCTTAAGCAGAGCATGACGCCGCCTCAGCTCGTTCACCCTCTGCCGAGCCGGTGTCGGTACCGACTGAGCTCGGTCACTGGGTCGATGGAGCTGCCCCGTGACTGCCTGATGGAAAACCAGCAGGTTTCATCAGACTCGTAGTTTCTTGTTTCTGCTGGGGACCTCTGTATTTTACCGCTCCCTCCTGCAGTCTTCCCCCATTAACATTTAAAATGATTCTGTAAATCCATGTATCAATAGAAACAATCTCTGCCTCTGCCAGCTGCAGTAAATGTAGTCTCCAAATAATAAGAGGTGCATTCATCTGTGTATCTCCTTTGATCCACATTAGTGATATTTTCAGCACCAGAACAGGGAAGCAAAGAAAGATTCCTGAGTTTGTTAGTAATTTTATTTATTAGGTGCATCTAACCTGTTCTATTTTTCTCTGAAATGAGATCAAATCAGTGCTTCTATGGGTTGTCTCCAATCTGCACTGGAAAATTTTACTTTATTTAGAGACTTGTTGCAGAAAATATTCAGAATGCGCAGTTATTTGCTACCACAAGCAATCTCTGGTGCAGCCGCACATCAGAGCTGTATTTGAGCTTAACTATCCACTACATGAGCAACTGGGAGCTACATAGTATTTTGAACAAGTTAATGTTTGCACAATACGTTTGCAATTGACATGTTTGCACTTTAAATATGTTTACGATTTTAATTTATGTTAAGTTACTTGAAAAACGAGAAAAACAGATTTTTGTAATTGTTTCTCTCAGGGCTTTTATCATCTCTGGTGTGAGTTTAAAATATAAGTGTGTTAGCAATGTGTTGATTATCCCTAATATGAATAAATGTTTGTTTATTCAATGTTTCTCTTCTTTAATACGCAATTGAAGTTATGCTATTCATGGATAAAAAAATCGCGATAAAATCGAAATCGTGATAAAATATTGGAAAAATCGTGATATTCTATTTTTGCCATATCGCCCAGCCCTAAGCCCAAGTCTCCTCCCTTTCTAGTCGGCTCATGGGTCTCCAGAAGAACAAAAATTGAATGCAAGTCAACGGGGCTAAAAACGCTATTTTCTAATCCACTTTGCCTTATGACCTGAATGATGGGTGTTTCAACCATGCCAGTCACGTACTTTGACATTTATCAGCTTGTAAAGTTCGTAATTAGCATGACTACAAAGTAGACATCAGCACGTCGCATGTATGACGTCACCACATAATCTCCTTTCCCCTTGCGTAGCTGCTACTTACCAAATAGCCAGATTTATTTGGGTTTTTTTCCCCCCTGAAGGAAGGATTTTAAGTTCGCTAAACTCACAGCTGTTGTCCCTCTGTTTTTCTCTGTATCTTGTTCGATGACATCACTTTGGTGATGCGCATTTGTAGTCCTGGACTTATAATCCCACACAAAACCTAAAATAACATTTCCCTCGTTCGAAAATAAGCGCTTTCTTGGTATCAAAACATGTCCTTCAAATTCATGGACATCATATGTGAAATCCATGGCACATAACAAACGGAATTAGAAAATAGTGTTTTTAGCCCCATTGGCCCATGGTCTGGAAGTAGATGGGCATGACTTAAGCTCCCTATGCTAAATATGTTCATTTATATTTGAGAACATTACCTCATGTCCAGTTTAAACCGGTAATGTTTCATGAGTATTCATTTTGGTTTTTTTTAATAAAAGGTAATTGAAACATTGAGGTAATATGCTTTTAGTTAAGACAAAATCAGTATCGGCAAGCCAGGTTTTTCTCAAAATTGGTGATCGGTCAAAAACTGCAGTCGGTGCACCCCTAGTAGTAACTGCTGGTATGATGCGATAAAAACATAAAGTAGTATACAGTTATCCTAACGATGTCTCTGCAATGCACAATGTGAATTCCTTTCTCTGATTTAGATATATTCACTATAAATGCATCAATATACGATAGTTCAATCTTTTAAGTGGAAAAGATTCATAATCTACTGATAACCATATGGGACAAACTTTTTTCATTGAGTCTATGGCTAACAGTGTGGAATTATTGGACAGGATCTGCAATTTTCTTCCTGGCTGCGGAGGAAAATCACTTCTCAAACTTTTTAAGAACAGCTTTCAGTAAGATTCTTGGTTTCTAAACTAACTTTTGAGGACAATCTGTCCACTTGGTGGTAACTATATTATTACTGAAGTCAGATATGGAATATGACAGAATATTTTGTGGGATTAAGAACCAAAACTAGTCTGATAAATGAAAACAGACTTTTTAGGAGAAATCGGGCCATTTGAGACATCTTTATTCCGAGTTTAGTCACTTTAAATTAAGCGGCTATTTAGTAAGAAATGTGAATTTAAACATGATGGCACTCACCTAACTTCATCAAACAAGCGAGGAGGACCCATAGTGAGATTTCAAACGGGTTTTTGATGTGGCCGTAATCCACGCCGAGGACGGGAAAAGCCTTTTTGGTAAAGTTGTGTCCTTCCGTGTGTCCCTGCTTTGCCTCTTCGCAGCTCTTGCTGGTGGAGCTGGCAGCTCCCAGAGGAAGCAGCGATCCTTCCAGTAATACAAATATCACCAGCAGGAGCAGCCCGAACTCCGGCAAACTCCTACCGGAACCTGCTCCTGTCCTCGAAGGCATGTCGGCACAACTTCTAAAGAAACTAGCTAGTAAATCAAAAAAGAAAGGTGCGCTTCGAAGTTGAAGGAAGTTGGGAGTTGTCTTCTACTTCCCAATTCTGAATTAGAGAGCTAAACACAAAGTAGCTTTTCCGGGCAGTTAGGCTGGCTAAAACCGAACCAAGGGTCCATTGTTTCCCCGATGAGCGTCGCGTTCAGGTAAACCGCCACGCCGACGCAGGGCCGCTGCTGTTGGAAGCAGGAAACGAAAAGGGATGCAGAAGAGTTTCTTTTATTTCTCCACCTCAGTGAACTATGTTGAAACAGACCACCTATGTGGTCACACCGGACCAGTTTCACAAGTTGTCCTGCTTCTGTCGAGAGTCCGTTAATGCCCCTCAGTCGGTGAAAGTGTCACAGTTGATGCTGAGAGGCAACGCAGAGAAGCATCCCCTTCCTTCTCCCCCTCCGACTGAGACCAAGTCCTCCGAGTGGCGGCGGCGCTCCGATGCTGACCTTCAGGCGAAGACACGCGTCTGACAAACCGCATTTTTGCCATCATGCATGTAAACTTTTTACAGGTATTTATATCCGCGAATGCGGCATCCACCGTGAACCCGGCGCGAGGACACCACCTTTTGTGGCGGGGCGGAGGAGCTCTGTGGTGAATTATGACAAGTGTCCGTTCTGCTCCAGATTCAGACTCTCGGCTCGGGTTGCAGAGACAAGTGGACACCGAGTCCCCGTGATGTTACAGCTTCATGCAACCTGCAAACGCACACCCTTTTGGCGGAGGTTTTACTGGATGGGAGGAGGAGAAGGAGGGGTGAATTGAAGGGGACGGGGGTATCGGACAATAGCGACACCTACAGGACAGGAGGTTTACAACGATTGCAAATTATACAAGAGCTTATTCTCTTTTTTGCCCCTCAAAGTAAAACGAGAGAATTCTGACATTAAAGTAATAATATTCTCTTTTTTAAGAGATTGACTGTAATTATCTATTATGAGAGAGTCGTTTTCACTTAGAAAATACTCACAATTGTGTTTCTGTTATCAGGTTTTAAAATAAAACCTTTGAAATAAATGGTGTGAATGTTGTTTTTCAAGGAGATTTTCTTATTTGTGGAAAGTATGTAAAAAAATCCACAAACAGATCTGAAGCTATTACAGGTACTTTTAGTATCATTCTGTTATAGAAATCCTATAAAAAATACACAAATGCTACAACTTTTTTTATTTTATCTGCATTTAAAAACATGAGTTCGTTTTTTTAAATAGTTTTCATCCAAAGTAATTTAGAGCCATTGTGGAAGGTGAGAGTGGAATTCTGATTTCCATCCATCCATCCATCCATCTTCTCTTCATAGATCTGAAGGCATTCCCTGACCAGAGATGCTTTATAATCTTATTAGTGAGTTCTACATCTATTCCAGAGTCTTCGCTGGGAGATGCCTGGTTATATTCTAATCTGATGCCTGAACCAAAATCAGCTGACTCTGCTGACAGATGCAGCATCTTTACTCTGAGCTTCCCTCAAATGCTGTTTCTTCTCTGCTTATCTCCAAAGCTGAGCCTGATAACCATATGGGGCATTAATTTAAGCCACCTTTATCCAGAATCATGTTCTTTCGGTGTCAATCTAAATCTTGTGACTACGTGTGAAAGATGAACTGTGAACAGATCAGCAAATCGATAGTGTTCCTTTTGCACCAAGAAAGTCTGGAGCAATTCTTCGATTACAAAAATTTAGCCCCAATCCATTGGTCTATTTCTTACTTCACCCCACCAACATCACTGACAGTCAAGACACCTACATACCTGTATTATGCAGTTGTTGTGCTGCAATCAAAGTTTAGCTATAACAAGATGGACGTGCATGGAACATCAGTGTCCATGCAGGTGGTGTTCTTCATGTGGATGTATTTCATTTCTATATGAAGGCTTGTGCTTTGTGGATTGTGGTGACTAGGGATGGGTGTTAAAATGAAGGACACGTCATAACAAAGAGGATGGTAAAAGTCATCCATCCATTTTCAGTCGCTTATCCAGAGTCGGGTTGCAGCAGCCTAAGCGGAGAGGCCCAGACTTCCCTTTGGGAAATCCCAAGGTGTTCCCAGGCCAGCTGACAGAGAGAGTCCCCCCAGCGTGTCGTGGGTCTTCCCTTGGGTCTCCTCCTGGTTGGACGTGCCCATAAAACCTCACCAGGGAGGCATCCAGGAAGCATCCTGACCAGATGCCTGCCACCTCAACTGGCTCCTCTCAATGTGGAGGAGCAGCGGGTCTACTCCGAGCCCCTCCCGGATGACCAAGCGTCTCACCCTATCTCCAAGGGAGAGCTCACCCCGCAGAGAAAACTCATTTCGGCCGCTTGTATCTGCGATCTTGTTCTTTCGGTCACTTCCCAAAGCTCATGACCACAGATGAGGGTAGGAAATTTGACTGGTGAATCGAGAGCTTTTGGAGGACACTAAACAAACAACAACCTTCCCCGTCGTGAGTGAAGATGGGTGACTCCATGAATGCTAATTCACATTGTGACATAGATCTGCCAGGATTTTCAAATCCTAGAGTTTCACCGTCTATTTTCTATCAGAAGCTAAAGCAGGAGATACAGTAGGTGTAGGAGACTATTTTCATGTTCAGCCTGCATGAAAAACTCAGAGTGACTGATTATAATCAGAAATAATATTTAATGAATGATTTCTCAATGTTCCACACCCTTAAAGAGTTTAGTAGCGTTGAAATCCACTGAGGACTTTTCCAATGAGGATTGCTTTTGTTGCAGTGCCGCTGCAGGTTTATCAAGTTTCTCTATCAGTGATTTAGGGTTAAGGTTGAAGCTGTGAGCACAACCTGTCTGTGTGTGTGTGTGTGTGTGTGTGTGTGTGTGTGTGTGTGTGTGTGTGTGTGTGTGTGTGTGTGTGTGTGTGTGTGTGTGTGTGTGTGTGTGTGTGTGTGTGTGTGTGTGTGTGTGTGTGTGTGTGTGTGTGTGTGTGTGTAAATGTCCCGTTATTTTATTACAGATTTGTGCTCACGTATCAGTTTTCTGGGACTGTATAGATAATAATTTAGACGGTTGAGATCATGTCTAGTCTATCAGAATTATCTAGAGCGTGTACAGTCAACACGGATAACAACGTGTTGTGTTAGAGTCACTTATTAAATGGAGTTCAGGTGAGAAAGAGCTTAACATGTTAGTTATTTGGGTGTTTGCGTCTTTATATTTATGACTCTAAGATGCTTTTAATTTAAATGTTTGCAGCCACTTGTTGTGGTAGAAAAAAAGCCATCTGAAAGTCTTAGTATTATTTTAAGCTTTGTGATGTAAACTAGTTTTTATTTTTTGGCATTTTGGATTCTAATAGTCAATTCCTTTCATTTTGTTTCAAGAAAATGTTTAATAATTGACATGTTATAATAAGCAAAATCATTTATAGATATTAAAATGGAACATTGTTAGAACAATATTTTTTACATACTGGCTCTCAAGACAATAATCACGAGGTACTTCAGAAGAAAACAAATACAAAAAACGTGTGTATAGGTATAATATGTTATATCTATACACACATATAGGTGTTTTGACAGAAATACATGGAAAGAGAAATTCCATATTGAATTCTGTAAAAAGGGTATGAAAACTTCATATTTTATCTGTTTTGAAGAGCCTCTGTTTGGAGAAACATTGACTAGTTCTGATGGGATCCGTAAGCTAAGTACTTCTGCCATTCTAAAACAATGTCACCAATAAAGTAAGCTTTTATGGTTATCTACATACAGTTCTGGGAGTATTTAGGTGGAATTTGTATGTGGACATTTCAGTCAGCATTTTTCAGGAATTTTGTGATAAATTGAGGAAAAAAAATTTGAACAATTGTTCAAATTTTTTCGACACATCTCCATGGCTACGTAAAGGGACAATGTGTAGTTCTTAATCGTTAATCTCTGGAAAGACTCTTGTTCATTGTTGTTTATTTTTGTGGAACCCCCCCCCCCCTCCCCCTCCCCCACCTTTTGTCTCTTCCTTTCTCTTTCACCTCTGTGTCTTTGTTTGGTCGGAATTAAAAAGCATTCAAAAACAATAACAATAAAGTTTGAAAAAAAATCTCTGGAAATATAAATCAAAATGTTGTTGAAAAATATTGGCGGCTTTTTAATATATTACCATAAAAATCAGGTCTAAATTACATGGGAGCGGGTCTAAGACTCAGGGTGATGCCATATTAGATGCCATGTTTCCTTCTACGGCAGCCCCTGAGGACAAAACACATTTACTGATTTGTAACAGAAGGTTACAAAACTTTCACCGTTCATAAACGTTGTTGTGTTACACATTTACCTCTTTACTCATTGCCACTGATGAAAGGGAGTCTGACGCGCTTGTCATTTTGCTGAAGTTTGCAATCCCCAGGCCTTTTTGACCCTAATGGGGATCCGTTGGTAAGGTCTTACTCCAACACAAAAACTACAGCATGGTTGCAAAGATTTTAGGTATGTACTGCCCCCTGGCACCAGGAAAAATACACACTGTCACTTTAACTTGGCACCATGAGCAATTTTAGCGAATGAAATGGTTTATTTAATTACTTCTCGTTGGCTATCGACCTCCTCTTGAATTCTTTTTGCATACTTGCGTCGACAACAGCTTTGCTAGTAGCTTTCATGTTGCTAGCCTGTGTTGCTTTAACAGATGATTTAGGTGTCATTTTCATCAACATTATCCACAGTTTTTGCATTGTCATTAAAAATAACCCAGTTGTACTGTATTCTGGGAACTATTTATTTCCTGTCAAAGAAAAACGGGACCTTGTGGTTTGATTTTGCACCACTAGCGGGCTCAAGGTTATAAAACAGCATGTGTATACACTACCGTGAAATTTAAAATGGTAATTGCTTTGAAACACTTTATGATTGGTCCAACTTTGACTAGCCGTTAGCTCATTCATCTGATCAGAGCTAGTCTCTGTTTCTCCAAACGAAGGCTCATCAAAGAGCTATCTACAGTACACAGAAATTTTCCATGATTGTAACATACCTACATGGCCCTATTTTAAAGCCAAGAACTGGCACTTTAAAGGCATGAGCATGAGGCTGTGAAAGAAAATGGCAACTCAACAGTAACTTTGCAAAAGCAGGAATAACAAACCTAAAATTTATTTTTTTACATAACATAACACAGCATAAACAACATTTTTATTTGTTTTTCCTCTTTTTAAAAAATGTTTTAAAAGTTTAATTAATGATGAAGATTGATGCAAACAGAGAAACATTCTAGACGTGGTTTCTTTTCCAATTCTGTTGATGTTTAAGATCACCAGCATGTGTATTAATATCACACTATGTGGTACGTATGCCATACCAAGCATGACTTTACAAACTTGTTCCATTGTCCTTTATGTTTTCCACCTTCATGTTTGACCTCATAAATCCACCCCTTTCAGCTCAGTTGTAGTAAAACGAGACGCCAATAGCTTTGCTGCACAATCCCAAAATAGAGTCTGAACAGCAGCAAATCCTCGATGAAAATTAGAGATCTGTTAACGTTGGTATGTGGCCAATGAAAGGAAAATAAAACCAAAAACATGGCTGGCCTGTCTGGTTTGTGCTGAAACTACTTATAGCAGAAACTCTTTGTGATTTAAGGGTGCATAAGCTGAGTGGCTCCAAGAGTTCAAAGCTTTTAGGGCCACGAAGGCCAAACATTCAGATCTGAACAAAGATAAATTAGTCTACAGAAATAAAATGGAGGCCATGAAGAAAAATCTGCTGCAGTTTAACTAAACCAAGTGATGCAGTCCAAAGG